CACGCGAGGGGTCAGACAGGCCACGCGGAGGGTTTAGGCAGGCCACGCGGAGGGGTCAGGCAGGCCACGCGGAGGTGTTAGGCTCTGCTGTCACCCAGCCCAAGCCCTGTATGTGCTGCACAGGCAGCACCCAGGCTACCAAGCCACGGGGAGGCCGGGCGTCTGGACACTCGGGGAAACACCTGGCCTGTACACGCAGGCCCCGAGGAGCGCTGGGGTGACCTGGCTCCTCTGAGGGGTTGGCCACCATGCCTCATAGAGAACCTGGGGTGGGGGGTGGTCGCACAGCCTTAGAGCACCGGTCCCTGTCAGGGGCTCTGGCCTGGGGAGGTCCCTCGCTTCTTGGCCCCAGCTGTCCATGCAGGGCAGCAGAGAGACCAGGACAGAGTGACCACCCACACTGGGCTCCCAGCACAGAGCACACACCAGGCGGCCCAGCTCCTCTGTGGTCAGGGAGCCTGTCTGGCTTCAGGCTGCACGGGCTGATGCTGGCTCTCAGGAAAGGTCAAGGTCACAGGTTCAGGGAAGGTCATGTCTCCACAAACCCAGGAGCTGGCACGGCTGCCTCAGTACTCCCTGGTGCACGTGTCCCCTCCAAAGTCCTTGCTGCTCGGGACCCACAGGGTCTCCAGCCTGACACCAGCTTCCCACGAGGCCTCTCTCTGTCCATCCTCCTGCTCAGGGCCCAGGACATCTAGAGCGGTCTCAGGCCCCTCACGCTCCTCCCAGACCTGGCCTTGGCCACCACTGCCCCCTCCCTTCCTGGCCCGCTCAGTGCTTACCTCAGCCAGGGCTCCCCATGACGGTGCGCCAAGCCCCACCCACTGGGTGCCAAGTGTCCTCCAGGGCATCACCCACCTCCGGGCAGAGCTGGGCACACGGGGCTCAGCCAGCGCTGACGAGGCAGCCGAGAAGCCAGACCTGCCGTCCTGGTTCTGCTAGTTGGTCCTTCACCACAAAGTCGGGGGGGGCTCTGAAGTCCTGAGGGGACAAGATGTCCACAGAGGGGTCAGGCAGGCCACACGAGGGGTCAGCTTCTGCCTCTCTGCAGGGCCATCCCACGAGCTGCTGCTGGGAAGGTCTTGAGTCTCAAGTCCTTTGCCCTGCTGCCCAGGGGGGACACCAGGACTCCCCACAGTGCCACCATGTCCCCAAAAAGGAGACACCAGAGCAGTGACAGGGCCATGCCTGAGCCACAGAGCCTGCGCCCACTGCCAGCCCCCAGCTGTGGGATGCAGCCGGCCCAGCTCCTGTCCAGGTGCTGGTCACGGTCTGCCAGGCGAGGCACAGGACAGGGCAGTGCGCTCCGGCATGAGGAAGCCGCGGACAGCAGGCTCACGGTTCAGCCCTTGCCGCCCTGGCCCTGACTCTGGCCTGCTCTGCTCTGTCCCAGTTACAGAAGACGACGGAGCGCCTGGCACCAGGGAGCACGAAGAGGTGCGGCAGGAAGAGCAGAGATGGGCAGGAGAGTGCAGGTAGCGTTCCCCGGGGCGGGCGGCTCCCACTCGTGCCCTGCGCGGGCCGCTTAGACAGAGTGGGAGGGGGTTGGGACCCCTGTGTGTGCGTGTGTGTGTGCACGTACACATTTGTGTGCTGGTCTCCCCCTGTTCTTGTAAGGCGCAACCTTGGGGCTCCACCCCACAGCCTGTCTAATCCCTGACTTCCCACAGGCCCCACCCAGACACCTCCTCGGGCCTCACAATGGGGTTTAAACGTCACCTCGTGAACCCTTGAGGGTCACTCAAGCCATGGTGCACAGCGTGTTTAATTCCTTGAATAAAAATATAGTAATCAGAACTGGGCTCTGAGAAAAGGAGAGCACACTTCAGTTAGTAGAAAAGATCCATAATTAGGACATATATAGGGCGTTGATCCACGAGGGGCAGGCACAGGGCCTGGGCAGGGTGGTGAGGCGGCACAGGCTGTGTGGGAGCACCACGGGAGGCAGGTGCACACCTCGGGGAGCCAAGTCTGGCTCTCAGGGAGCTGGGGAGGGGTCTCCATCACAGCAGGAAAGATTCCCTTTCTATGGTGCCTGTTTTGGGGACAGGCGTTACAGGCATTCTGAGTAGTCCTGTGCCCATCCAGAAAAAAATGTTTTTAAAGTGAAATTGAAGTACTTAAAAGTTTTCCAAAATAAAGCATTTGTGTATTTCGCCTAGGCATTTTCCCCCGCACCTGCTGACACTGGTCATTCACTTAACCCGCGTGGTGGCAGAAGTGGTCCATGCAGCCACCCCGCAATAAGGTCACACCAGTCACGTGTCTGTCGGGTGACTTGAGAGCTCCTCAGTTTATAAAGCGTTTGGAGCACAGGGCCTGAGAACTGGGGCTGGGCCTGCCAGAGGGCCAGCGACAGCCGCAGGCCGTGGACTCCCTCACGCCCTAGCCTCGCTGCACACAGGCCGAGCATCTCCACCTCAGACCTCTAAACCGGGGTAGCACCCGTGTCACTGTGGCTCGTGACCTGCCCGCCTGCCCGCCAGGCCCCACGGCTCACCAGGAGCCCTTTCCTTTTCCCAGCAGACTGTTCCTGAAGGAAGCGGAAGAGCTGCGGTACTGTCCAGGGCAGCGGAGCTCCACAGGATGTCTGGGCCGGGGTCGCGCCCTGCGCCGGGCACCTCCAGGCCACGTTTTCTAAGAACCATTTTGTTCACTGATCAAAAAAAAAAGGAATTCATGATGCTGTACAGAATTTTTATTTTTAAACTGTCTTTTAAATAATATATTCTTATACAGAAATGGGTACAGTACTTTTTCTTTGGTAGAGTTGTGTATCCGGGCTGCTTCCCAAGTGTTCACGTGGAGACAAAGGACACTGCTTTTTCAACAGATGTATCTCAGACCCATTGACCAGTGTGATGTAATGCAAACGTCCGTGTAAATTCTGCATTAAATGTCAGACCGGTGCCAGAGTGCGGGGCCGTGCACATTCCTGTGTTCACGAGCAGAGGGCCGTTGATCCACGAGGGGCAGGCACAGGGCCTGGGCAGGGTGGGGAGGCGGCACAGGCTGTGTGGGAGCACCACGGGAGGCAGGTGCACACCTCGGGAGCCAAGTCTGGCTCTCACTCACAGGGAGCTGGGGAGGGGTCTCCATCACAGCAGGAAAGATTCCCTTTCCATGGTACCTGTTTTGGGGACAGGCGTTGGAGGCATTCTGGGTAGCCCTGTGCCCATCCAGGACGGCCAACCCCCTGGGACGGTGGCACACATGGTGACCTTGCTCAGACTCACTACCCCCATGTGACTCACCACAGACTCACCAGTCCATGCCTGGACTACTGGACTCTGTGAAAAGCAAACAGAGGTTTCTAACCCCCACCCCCGGGGCTGTGTGCCCAGCTCTGCTCCCCTGGAGGAGGGACAAAATCACCCCAAGAGCCTCCATTCTAAAGAACTGACCTTAAAAGGCCACTTGTATAAGCCGAGCTTTGGGCACCCCTAAACGGCTAGTAACACCTGACACATCGCGAATGCCACATCTGTGGAGGAAGGGAAAACGTACGTAGTCAGTACGGATGTGAGTTTTTTCTAAATGTTTCTTTTTTTAATATTTATTTTTTAGCTTTAGGTGGACACAATATCTTTATTTTATTTTTATGTGGTGCTGAGGATCGAACCCAGTGCCTCATACACGCCAGGCGAGCACGCAACTTGAGCCATATCCCAGCCCCAATGAGTTTCTTTTAAAAAACTTAACATTGGGGCTAGCATTGTGGCTCAGTGGTAGAGCACTCGCCTAGCAAGCGTAAGGCACTGGGTTCGATCCTCAGCACCACAAAAAAACAAATAAAGGTATTTTGTCCAAATAAAAACAAAAAAAAAAAAAAAAAAACCTTTGACCTTTATTTGATTTTATGTGGTTCTGAGGATTGAACCCAGGGCCTCACCTGTGCTAGGCAAGCGCTCTACCACCGAGCCACAGCCCCAGCCACCCAAATGTTTTTTAAATATTTATTTTTCAGTTGTAGTTGGACATAAGACCTTTATTCTATCCATTCATTCATTTTTTTTTGTGGTGCTGAGGATCAAACCCAGGGCCCTGCATGTGCTAGGCGAGCACTGTACCGCTGAGCCACAACCCCAGCGCCTCCCAAATGTATTTTATACAAGAATATGGATGCTGTCGATGCAGAGGGCAGGATGCACACCACCACATGTGCACATGTGCATCCACACAGGCAATGCGTGTGCACTCCCAGACAAGCCACACGTGAGCTCCGAGGAGCTGCCCCTGCAGGGCCACACACTTCCTCTGGGCTCAGCCTCTACCACGTCCCAGTACACAAAACCCGCAGACGGCAAGTTGGCAGGGAGAGGAGCTCTTGGCAGAGTCTGCAGAGGGTCAGGTTCTTGGTTGACAGTGTGGCCTTAGGAACTGGCACGGGGGCATCAGGCTCCCCACGAGTGCTCCCCCAAGGCCTCTGCTTCAAGTGTTTACACGCGGGGCAGTTCCTGCCCCATCAGCTGAGCCTGTGGGGACAAGGAGCCTGAGTCACTGCTCCCAGGGCAGGTCCCCAACCTTCACGTTGCAGAGAAAGCCCACCAGGAACAATCCATGGCAGAGCATCCCCACAATCCCCAAGGACAGAGGCCCATCCTCCCTGGTCGTCTGCACACCCAGAGACCCAGAGCCTGGCCCCCCAGAAACCCACACGTGCAGGGGAGTCCACGGCCACACTCAGCAGTTGAGGCGAGGGAACTCTTGGTACAGCAGAGGAGGTGCACAGGTCAGGGCAGCCCCCAGCCCCGGGGGGGACAGGTCCAGCAAGAGGAGCCAGTGTGCAGACAGGCAGGCTCAGGGAAGACGGACTCCTGGAGGGCCCATTCCCAGGGAGCACCGCCCACTAAACAAGCTGCTCCAGAGTGGCCGGCGCCAACCTGCCCTGCACGGTGGACTTCCTGCCCCACACTGGCATTCCGCCAGCACAAGGGGATAGGTGCCCGGACCAAGGTGCACATCAGGGCACAAGCAGCAAAGCAGCCAGGAGAGCACCGCTGCCGGGCAGCTGTCCAGCCACAGCCTGTCACAGCTGGACTCTCGCCCTGCAGGAGCTCGTCGCCTGTGCTGGCGTGACCACCACACCTTCATGGCCTTGGGTCCCTGCCAGCAGCAGGGAGACGCTGTTTCCAATGCTTTGCCCCCAGAGACTCGGGAAATGCTGCGCATGTCCAAGACTGAATCTGACCAATCCCAACGAATCTGCCTCTGCAGCGTCACCCTCCGAGTCGGGCCCTGCCACGTGCTGCCCTGGGAAGGCAGGGCCCGGCCACCTGTTCCCCTCTTCTGTCGAGAGCAGCCTCATCCCGGCCAGCATCCCGGGGCCAGCGCCCGCCCTGCTCCTGTGCTCACCCTGCCCAGCTCCCTTCGCCTGTGAGAGCTGAGCCCGGGTCCTCTTCACTTGCTGTCACTGGCCACCACGTCACATGGGGACACGACACAGAAACGGTGCCCTGAGGTCGGGCGCACACTGGACACACAGAACACCCACTCCAGGTAAATGTGGGGCGGTGGGACCTGCTCCAGGTTGCCCTGGTACAGGACGGCAGCTGCTTCGTGTGGCCAGCCGCCCAGCTGCCCGCCTGGCCCACCGCCACAGGAGACCCGTAAGACTGTCTAGGGAGATATGGAGCCACGGCTCAGATGGCGAGGGCAGCTCCCCGACGAGCCGAGCCGTGGGCGAGGGCACAGGGGCCAGTGTCCCCCTGGGTCCTCGGGCAGGTGTTCCAGAGTCCACCGTGGGAGCTCCAATCCTTCCAAGGGGAGGTAGAGTGGGCAGCAGCAGGTCCCACAGGCCCATGCAGCCGGGGTCAGAAGCTCTCCTCCGCCTTAGGCAGAGCTCCTCACTGTGAGAACACACGATGCAGGAGCTCACCTGGGACAGAGCCCGGCCCTGAGGGGAGGAGCCCCTTGTCACGGGCTGCACGGTCCCCCTCAAAGTTCCCTTGGTCCTGCACAGTGAACCCACGGGCACTTTTAAAATTTTGACACAGAGCCTCCTAAGTTGGCCAGGCCACTTTCAAACTTAGGATCCTCCTGCCTCAGCCTCTGGAGTCACTGGGGTCACCGTGTGCTTCAGCCCACCCACCCCCAAAATTCATACGTGAAAGTCGACCCGTAGTCCCTCAGAATGTGACTGTACTTGGAGTCAGGGTCTTTAAAGGTAAAATGGGGTCCTTGGGACAGCCCTGAGCCAATGCGACTGTGTCCTCACAGGAAGGGGATTGGGACACACACACACACACAGGATGGCCCTGTGAGGACACAAGTAGAGCACGCCAACCACCAGCCACAGAGAGGGGCCCCAGGAGGAACCAGCGTGGAGAACCTTGACCTGGGTCTCCAGCCTCCTGGAGGGTGTCTGCTGCTTAGTCCTGGCCGGGGTACTTGGTTATGGCCACCCAAGCAGACTGATCACGAACCGCTGCCTACCTGGGCACCAAGATGCCCGCTGGCCTCCAGGCTGCCCTCTCTCTGGGACTTGCCTGCCATGGGGAGATGGCCCCATCCTGGGGAGCCCTTGAAGGTCTTAGGCAAGGGCACCCTGACACCCTAGCCCCCATGCAACCCCCAAAGTCACCCCTCCATCTCAAGGGCCGTGAGGCCAGGAGGGGAACCCAGGAAACGCCCAGGGCTTCACCCTCCTCCCCAAGGGCAGGCCCGTGGCTTCCTCCCCGGCAGATACCAGCAGCAAGTGGCAGTGGACTGAGAAGCCCTCAGACAGACACCCTCGGAAACAGAAGTCATGACCTTGAGCACTGGCCACCCGAGGACCGCTGGCTTGGCCGGCCCAGCACATGAGGTCGGGTCACTAAGCCAAGCTCT